TTTTTTGAAAGAAATTAAAACTTTTATTCAGCAAGGATGTGTTAAATTGTTAAGAAGTGATAGCAAAGATTTATATTGTTAGAAAAGATTTATATTTAGTATAAATGCTCTTCTTTTTAACATTTTATTCATCAAAGAATCCTGAAAAAAGTAGTTTCCAAAAAAACATTTGGCAGCCCAACTGTTGCCAACATTGATAATTATAATAATAAATCAGTATATTAGAATGATTTCTTAAGGATCATGTGACACTTTATACTGGAGTAACTGCTGATGCAAATTCAGCTTTGCATCACAGATATAAATGACATTTTAACGGATATTAAAATAGAAACCATTATTTTATATTGTAACAACATTTGACAAGATTACTGTTTTTTTCTGTATTTTTGATCAAATAAATGCAGCCTTGATGAGCATAAGAGACTTCTTTAAAAAAACATTACAAGTCTTACTGATCCCAAACTTTTGAACGGCAGTGTGTATACAAGTATTTCTTTATCTATAAATACATACAAATTGCCATTTAAAAAAATGGGGCCAAAACAAAAAAATTATTATGATTAAAATTAATATAAAATTAATAACAATCATATTTCAGCCCAATACATGTTTGTGCCAATATAAGCATTTAAGCATAAATGCTCATACTAAAAACCCTATTTACTGTATAATTTACAATAAGAACCTCTAGAGCACGCAATTGTGTTTCAGAACCTGAAAGTGGAAGATTCCAGCATAGTCATCCTGAAAGCTCTGGCCATGAGGGACGACCCTGTGGAGGAGTCTTTCATTAAGAGTCAGCGAGGCTATAGCAGCGAGGAGCCAGCAGTCACCTGACCATGAAAAAAAAAACAGACAATGCAAGGAGAACTAAAGCCACTTATTTAAAAAGCAATTTAAACTGTAATACCAAAATCCCTGAATAGAATGCTTCAATCGATAGTTTGTCTTTTAATAAGACACAGGAGTTGAACTACCACTCTACAACCAGCAGGGGGACACAGAGAAAGGGGTGGGGTTTATTTTCTCTGTGAGGCCTGTGTGAACCCATTCCTGTTCACATCCCACTCAGATCTCCACTTCAGAGCAGAGGAATTTTCCACAGCCTCAAAACCGTAAGGGGCCAGCGGCAGGCTGAACATACACTACCATTGTTGGCTCTAATATAAGAGATTTTTCAATTGTTAAACTGTTTTGGTCACTATATGATTTATATATATTGTAAAACACTACTAATATTGAAGGAGTAGGTGTGCAGACATTTGTCTGGTACTGTATTTGATAGTTTTAAACTAGCTTATGTAAAAGGATTACACATATGTACTGTACTAGGGCGGTAATATATAAAAACTAGAAAAATCTGACATGCACATTGATTGAGAAAAGTTGTAAATTATTAATTGAATTATATATATATATATATATACAGTATACTGTATATATATGTATGTGTGTGTATATATATATATTTTTTTGTTTCAGTTTTAGTTATTTTAATACAAAAATTGTGCTTTGGCAACTAGTTGAAATAAAATAAGTTAAAGCTATTTTATTTCAAGTAACACTTTTTTTGTGATTTGATCGTTTTAGATTTAGTTAACTATGATAACCCTGGTGCTGAAAATAAGATATTTTCATGTATTATGTAAAAAAGTAACAGGCTTTAGAATGTCATGAGTGTAATTACTACCACCGCTCCTATGTTGCCAGAGAAACAAACTCATATTCTGTAACGAATTAACAATTAATCTGAATGAAGCCACTTTACAGGAATCATGTGTACTCAGACTAAGTGTGTCTAGAGAAAAGTTATAATCCTTGTGTACGTGAATTTATAATAGTGACAACAGCTGCAATAGAGAGAAGGGAGGGGTCAGTGCGGTTATGGACATTCTGACTATCACTGCAAGGATTGGGTGGGTCATGTGACACTGAAGACTGAAGCAATGCTGCCTGCTGAAAATTCAGCGTTGCCATCACAGAAATAAATGACAATAAATAAAATTAATTACAATAAATTACTGTACTTTTTGATTAAATAAATGCAGCCTTGTTGAGCATAAGAGACCACAAGGTAGCATAAAAACAAATTCTTTTCCCCCTCACCGTAGGGCGCATCCACTCCACACCACGGGTTTTGGAGGAATACGGGGCAAGTTCTTTGAAGCCGAGAGAGGGTGGTTCGGCGGGGAAGCAGGGGTCTTCAAACAGGTAGCCTCCTTCCAAACACTCCTGTTTGAGTGCCTCAAAGTCCTGGTTCTGGAAGTGTAAAGCCTGCTCAAAAGAGCCCACACCTTCTGCCTGTAGCCTGTTAGCACTGATCTGTGCCGAGATTCCTCCATATGTGAACATGCTGGAACCGTGAGATGCAAAGCAGTTATAAATAGCAAAACTGATAGCAAAGGGATTCATACTCAAACACTTTAATAATTGTTGTGCCTTTGTGTAGACACGGACTACATTACATTGTATTTTTTCTATAATAAAAAAGACAAATGAACATAAAACTCCATAATTGACACGTAAATGCAAATTATGCACACTAGCTTTCAAAAGACCATACACTCTCAGAAAAACAAAGTGCAAAGCTGTCACTGGGGCTAAAAAAAGTCGAAATAGTACACATTGCTATCTTAAAAGTACATATTAGTACCTAAAGTGTACATGTTAGTACCTATTGAAAGGGTAATGCCCTTGTGACAGATTTGTAATTTTCATGAAGGTTTATGGGATATCATCACCAGTTTCCAAAAACAAAAAAGGATTATGTGAAGTAGTACTTTGTGGTTGTTAAATATTTAGTGGAACATGTTAATGATGGCCCAAAAAAGGCATAATTAGTTTGCAGATGCTTCTTGCTTTGATATTTAGCTTCTAATGCAATTTTACAAAATATGTTAACACTAATTTTAGTGTCCAAATACAATTTGGTTCCACTGAAGGCTGTGGGCATCAGAATTACTTTAAAGTAAATGATGCATACTATTCCATATCAATAAGGTTAAAAATGTAAACAGAACAGATGCAGAAGGTCTGGTGTTAAATGCTGTATTGTGGCTCTGCTCAGTTAAAGGGGTCATATGATGTGATTTCAAGCGATTTCCTTTCTCTTTGGAGTGTTTAGCTGGCCAATCAGAGCAGACTGCGCTTGTCGGAAGGAGGGACTTCCAAAGCGTTTGAGAGAGGCGGGGCATAGAGGACTTACAGTAATGTACAGTATTTGAAGAATAATGGGTTTTTTTTAACATTAAAGCATGTCAACATATTCTGTTACACCAAATACACAAAATAATGATCTTTAAAAAAGCATCATATGACCCCTTTAAATATGTGCAGGTTTGTAGACTCATAATCTGCTCTACAAGAATCTCACTCAATTTTTAGACTTAGATACTGCATACTGGTAAAAAAAAATGTCTAGTCTGAATGCACTGTAAGTCGCTTCGGATAAAAGCGTCTGCTAAATGCATAAATTATTAATTATTAGATATTTTCAATGCATGGCAAATCATTTTATATTTAGACTGTCACAGCACTTGCATCATATTTCTATTATCTCTCTGTATCAATGACTGCATTGTGCTGCTGGCCTCAAAACTCACAACAGACTGAGGGCCTCCCATTCATTTCAACACAAATCACACTCAGTGTATAAGTTCACACAACCTGCATTGCATTTAGATAAATGTAACTTACTATTAACACTTAGAAAAATACACCACAGGGCCGTTTTAAAACCTTAATCTTTATATTTAACATTTCAAAAACACTTTTAGTGGCGATTTATTATGCATATGGTTGTTCTGTACATTATTTCATTTCTAAAATGTATGGCATGCCAAGCATTTTGTCGTGTTGTTGTATAACTCAGCCTTCGTAAATCACTGCGGTTCGTTTAATGATCAATTTCAACTTAGCTGTCATTTCCAGCGATACTACTCTAGCCTACAACGTTTTCCAGCTTCAATATGTAAATAAAGTATTCAATGCGACACATTACAGCAGGCCGACGGAGACCAACAACACGGACAGAACAGAACTAAATAAATCTCGACATGATTCAGGGCAGAAATACAAGAACCGCTTACCTTGCCTTGCAGCTGCGGTCCTGTCAGTCTCTTCTGTGAGGGGGATGTGTGATATATACAGTAATATTTTCCCGAAAAGATACGCAATACACTATTAGAGCTTCAGTGCGCGTGAGTCCAGAGGGGGCGGGGCGATAAACACTGAGACAGACAAGTGCACTTGTCACGACAAACCGGTCAAGTAGCCTACTTTACAAATAACGGGTGGATTTGAGAGGGTCCCGAGCATATGGTGGACGAAACCTGCAAAAACAATAAATAAATAAATACACAAATAAGTAAATAAATGTCTGTATAAATACACAAATTCTTGTTTAAATACATATAGAAATAATTAAACGTGATTAAATGAGTGATCAGAGGAAAATAGTTAGGATGAGTTTAGCATTTCCTTAAACATTTTCCATTTGCCCACCAATTGATATGATTTATTTGCCTACTTTCATCACATGTATAATTATTTATTTATGTATTTAAACAAGAATACGTGTATGTATGCACATATTTATTTATTTGTGTATTTATTTATTTATTGTTTTTGCAGGTCTCAGCCTCCATAGTCATCAGCCTATGCCATCATATAACGTATATATATATTCATTTTAAACACATAGTTATGAAGCGTAAATCTACGCTAAGCGATAAATAATGACTACCATTTGTCGCTGTTTTATTTATTTGCATATTTATTTATTTATTTGTGTATTTATTTATTTATTGTTTTTGCAGGTCTCATCCTCCATAGTCATCAGCCTATGCCATCATATAACGTATATATATATATTCATTTTAAACACATAGTTATGAAGCGTAAATCTACGCTAAGCGATAAATAATGACTACCATTTGTCGCTGAACAGAAATATGATTTTTCTGTATAGTTACTTCCTCAGCCGAACGCGACTCTTTTCGTGTCAATTTAAAACTTTTGTTGTTATTAACATATTTGAAATCATGTTGAAAAAAATACTGTATAAAACGTACGTACTATATGCTGTAATGTATAATGTAAATAGAGTATATACTTATTTATATATCGTGTTGTTTTTATGTCTGTTAGAAAAGTTCGAGGCTTGCTTGTATGGAGGACGAAACCTGCAAAAACAATAAATAAATAAATACACAAATAAATAAATAAGTGCATAAATACACATATTCTTGTTTAAATACATAAATAAATAATTATACATGTGATGAAAGTAGGCAAATAAATTATATAAATTGGTGGGCAAATGGAAAATGTTTAAGGAAATGCTAAACTCATCCTAACTATCTTCCTTTGATCACTCATTTATTTCTGAATGTAGTTCCACTTTTTTTTTCCCTCTGCGCAACATGCTAATGAGAGGGTGTCAATTATAGTAGGCGGATCGTGTGTGACGCGCTTGAGCGTTTGCCTGCGCATGCGTATTAACGTCATCAGTCAAGGTGACTGGTTATTATCTTACACTTTTTCATAGGACCAAAATTTGATTTATTTGCCTACTTTAATCACATGTTTAATTATTTCTATATGTATTTAAACAAGACATTTATTTATTTATTTGCATATTTATTTATTTATTTGTGTATTTATTTATTTATTGTTCTTGCATGTTTCGTCCTCCATAGATGATGCAAGAGTCACCAAAATACAATTTGGGCTGCGAGTGGCAAATTTTAAAATAGATATACAGTTAAAATTACTGACAGAAATTCCCCTTAAAGGTCGACACCCTTGAAAGCCATTGAATAACGTGAACACTGGAAATAATGTTACAGATAATAAAGAATTTTATTTGTTTCTCTACAGCAACAAGGCTGTACATTTTACGCATTTATAAATTTCATATGGTCTACAGTACAAACTAGATTTGAATTTACACAAAAATACCTGTGCTTGCAAGGCAGCAAAGAAAAGCAAACGTGGTTTTAGGCTTGAATATTAAATTTCATTAAAAAAAGTATAAAGATCACAAAAAAAAAAAAAACAACAACAAATCGATAACTGACAAAAAAGTTTGAATGAGACCGGAAGCTAGACCCATAGAATTTACAAATGGCTGTGCCCGCTCTTATGGGAATAAAAAGGTGGATGACTTTAATGGATCTTTAAGTCTATATGACCAGGTGAAAAGTCCAATCATTTAAAATAATTGCACAATTGTCATCAACAAGCCACACAATTTGGAGCAGCAAAAAAATCCAAACAATGATGCCTTGCAAGCGCTGTAGAGGAAAGTGCATTACGTATAAAACAACAGGCAACTATGCTTGTATCTCGGTAGCAAAGTATACAATGGACACATTTACCAATTCCAGGAGCTCCACTATACTAATTAAGCATTTTGGTATATGATGGTCTTCTGTGTAAGTTAACTAGCACAATAAAAATACGTTTCATAATTATCCTCTGGGCCTTTAAATCATAGCAATCGTCAGCCACTGAAAGAAAGAAAAAGAACCATTTAAAACGCTCGGACACAACATGGTTAAACATTAAGGCATACAGCACTATTAGACTGCAAGACACTCAATACCTGGAAGAAGTCCAACTCAATGAACCCACTGTTGTCTACGTCAATCCTTTTGAACACTTCTACAAAAGTTAAAAAAGAAGAATTTGCTTTTAATTGATATAAAAAATATAAACAATATCATAATACATGGACCAAAAATAAACGAAATCACATTATATAGTACAGTATGTAAGAAATAATTGCTTCTGGAACTGAAAACATGCTGCACACACAAGGTGGTAATGAAAGTCATAAAACATTGAAAGACATTTTTAAATTCTACTTTAAGTTTTAAAAAAAGTGTAACTTGAGACAATTCAGAAAGTATGTAATGAAGTGGTCAACAAACCTCAAGTTCTTCCCAGCCATACAATTATAAAAAAACAACATTGAATCCTATATTTGAAACCTGTGAAACATATTTCAACCAATCAGAATAAATGAACTGTTCTTACTGAACATCATCTCCAGGCGCATCACACAGGACACAAAGTTATCAAAGTCGATCTTCATGTCTGCATCTCCATAGCGTGCAGCCAGATTCTGATGAATGCAGTCATTCAGAGAGAATCCTGTGCAATGATTACAAATAAATCAAGTTACTTTGAAGTTTCACTTGCTGCTCCTTCATTAAAAACTCACTTTAAAACTAAAAGTTTGAATTAAGGTCAAAGGTCAGCGTACCGGTTTCCTTTAAAGCCATTCGCATCTCTGGAGTACTCATACAGCCAGACCCATCCATGTCATTCTTCTTATAAATGACCTAAAAAGACAAGGATTTTATCCCAAGACAAGGTTTGCAAGTAGCATTTTTGACTTTCTATGCCACACTTAAGACAAACTTACCAGATACTTTTGAATTTTCTTCCAAAGAGTAGCAAACTCAGCTAACCCTAGTTTACCATTGCCACTTTCCTGCAATAGAGTTAAGTCAAACTGCTTATGACTTATGAAGTTAAACAGAAATGTATCTTTGGACATCTTAAACAACTGCCTGTTGGACTATTTGTAAAGGATACATCCATGAGGTTCACCATGACCCTACAGGTTTCCAAACTGAAACCATCTGTCTTAATATCCGTTCCTGTAAGAAGAAGACAAATTGTTTACCAAGTAACTTTATGAACATGTTTTTTAAAATAAATATTACTGTATAAAGAAAAGACTTGCTTTTTGCGACTATTTTGTTGAAAATTGTTCTCAGTTCAGTGGCAGAGATCTCCATGTCCTTAGGCAAGAGCAAACATTATACATTTTTTTATGTTTAATGAGGTCAAACATGTTTCATGTTTATCAAGGTAATTCATCAACATTATGCAGGGTCTAAAATAACTCACATCTCCTGCAAGCTTAGTAAACAGTCCCCTAAAGCCAGCATCAACCTCATCTTCAGACACAGTCTCCTGAGGAGTCAGAAAAGAGGTTTATTGATGATATTCACATTAATAAAGTCAAAGGTAGCATTTTAAGAGAGACACAGGAAAATGGGACTTACATCTTCTATGTTTGCCTCTACAGGGTCATCACATTGTCTAGAGGAAATAAGAGAGACAGAGTCTATCACATACAAACAAGAATCTCACAGGTCATACGGCACCCCTCCTTAAAAAATTGATTCATAATAATACATTTATATACATGTAAATATATAATGAAAAAATTAAATGCTTCATTTTCTTTAAAAAGTATACACATTATATACAGGTACATACCACACACACACACACACACACATATACATATATATATATATATATACTATTTTATTTTATTTTTTTAATCATGGCATCTCTCTGAAGATTTTAGCATGGTGATGGATATGACCATGTTAATGTATTTGGTCTTGGCTGAATAGATCTGCTAAGCTGCTGAATTGCTGCCAGCCATATAAATGCAAGGCAGTAAGCTCATTGGATGCATATGCAGCATGAACCAATCAGCTTGTGCCAAGTCGTTTAACTCTCTGAATATCATCAGTTTAATATATATATATATATATATATACATACATATATACATATATATACACACATACACATTGACTACGATTATATACACTTTTTTCCATTAACTACAACTATTTTTTTGAATACAAAGGAATAATTTGCATAAATAAGTAAATAGATTGGGGATCATTTCTTTCAGACCACATAATTATTAATAAGAAAAAAAAATACTAACTACATTTCTTGACGAGTTTCTTAGGACCACTTGTAATAAAGACAGTTTTGGTTGATCATATGTTGAAGACACTACAAGTAACTTGAACATGGTCTTATTAAGAGCCTACTGAAAATTTTCAATCAAAAAATCAAGACAGTCCTTACTGCATCTCAGACTGTTTCTCAGAGAACACACGCACACAGAAATCTCCATTCATGTGCGGTTCGAATGTGGAAGGGACGATGAGATATTCTCCAGGAGGAAGTTTGAAGCGGGTGCTGACTTCTCTAAGGTTGATAAAGGTCTCAGATCGAGCTTTCTGAGCGTGGGTCAGGAAATAATTCTTATCCAGATGAACGTCCTTTTGCCCATGGAACTGCAATGAGGTGATCAAGAACCAGATGAAGAATAAGCTAGATTTCTAAATTTTCTGAAGAAAATGTGAGTGGTGTTGGCCTGAGCAAAAGTCAA